AATGTGCACCCAAGCATTTGTGATTTTAGACGCTGTACCTTCAGTGTCTTGCTACCCATTCCTTTTACTCACAAACTTGTTCAAACATTTATGTTGAAACAAGTCCTTCTCCGACACAAAAGGGCCAACCAGATTCAAATCCAGGAAGAGACAACACTACGTTCTAAATCGGTTCTTTGGCAAAGCCCATATTTTATCTGATTCCCTACAACGTTTCTTTTCCAGTTTGAATATAAACTGAAGAGCAGAGACAGAGTAAAATAACTTTTTGAGCCTGAAGCCTGAAAAGTTATTACAGAGTAAACTCACTCCCCCATTGGGCATGCCCGGAATTCAGGGGGAAATCTGCTTTCAAGTTGTTCCTATAGCCCTGGACCAGATGCTCTAAGGTGGCCAGAAACCTTTGTCTACACCCACTTAGCAGATTTCTGGCTCTTTATCAGGGACTAAGAGGTTTATTTGCAGAAATGAATCATTTCCTTCAAAATATCCTTTACCCTATTTACATGCTTGCATATTCCTTCCATTTTGTTTTCCCCCTACAGCTTTACTAAGGGAATTAATTATCTTGAAGAACAGGAACATACAGTAAGTACATCTGAAATACAGGATGAGGCGCAGTATGTCATCTATTAGGCCTGGCTAAGACCAGCAGCTGATGCTAAATGGGAAGGAACATGCACCAAATGTTTTTTAATCACAAAGTTAGTAATTAATTGCTCTTTAAAATACATTTTATGCTTCTTTCTGTCTGTGTACATGAAATGCACATTTATTACATGCCAAAAATTACAACATTATGGTTTAAATGTGACTGGCACGGAAGTCCGGAAATCAGAGTTAATGTTCCCACGGCAACTTTAATTCTGTCCGTGTGCACATGTAGGGCCATAACAGTCTTCCGCTCCAGGATAATACATATAGATGGTCTGGGGAGGGAAGCTAAAGACCCATATCCTCAACTGTAGTTACAGGAAAGAGACAAAGGGTAAAAACCATGCTCCTTTCCACATACACAGAGACAAAACAATGTCCCCACGCCTGGTGTTGTGTAATCAGGGAAAGAAAGAATCGGCTGTGGTGCTGGCACTCAAGGGGACAGTTTCTGTTGCTGTGGGAACCTGAACTTTGCATTTCCTGACTTTGGGGTAATTAAAATGTCAGCCTTAATGTGGCATTAATGGAGTTTGCCATAAAAAATCCTCTTTGTTTTGTTCTCTTAAAAAAATTGTTTAAAAGTTCAAACTGAACGAAGTGTACTAAAAATTTTAATCTCGGGGACTTGGCCTGGTGATGGAAGTTGGGGGGGGGAGGAGGGAAGTGAAGGGCTGGGAGGGGGAAGACCGGCAAAGGTGGAAGGCCAGAGAGAGAAAGGAAGGGCCCAGCAGTCTCCTCAGACAGTGCTCAGCCCCAGCAGAGTCATGCTACCTACAGAGCTAAAGTTAAACCCACCCACACAACAGTTTGGTAATGTGTAAAGGTTAAATTAAAAATAAATAAAAACTGTTAATGCATAAGTGCATCTTGGCAAGGACACAGAAAATGAGACAGCCTGCTGAGGCCAGTGCAAAACACCGGAAGGTAAGTCACCACAGAAGACGGCTTCCAACCAAACAAAGACATCAGAATAGGTGGCTCCGTGGCCAAAAGTCGGGAGCACTGCCAAAGGGGGGGGGGGACCGCTTCTCCCTTCGATGGGAGTCTTATTTGGGGGAAAACAAAACAGAGGAAGCACGCGAGTCGTAGTTCTAGGCGAGTCTGCCACATGTACACGACTGTGACGTGCCGCAGCTTGATAGCTGTCAGGCTAGGGAGGGCTTCATCTGCTCTGCTGACTCGGGTTAGGCCTCTTTACACGTCTGAAGAGAGAGCTTGGCTCAGCTCTTCCTCAGCCTGTTCCTCAGCAGGGAACCATTCTGTCAAACACCTAGGGCTTTCGTACCCTTTGCATTCCAAAACTCATCTCAATGCCTTGCCTTCTCGTCACTGGAGTTTGTTTACCACTGGATTTTTGGAAATGGTGAAGAGGCCGCAAGCTAGGAGGTCGTGGGGGAATGTCGCTAGGAGGTCATTGGTAGTGGGTGGGCGACGGAGCAGCACCCAGTTCCGTGGCAATAGTAACCTCACCATCTCACAAGGGGAAGCATTTTTCAACCCTATTCCTTCTTGGTTTGGATATGACTGGGATCTTTGGGAAAACTTGAAGTCGCTGGGCAGGTTAGGTAGCCAGCTGAGATTTTTAGGGGTCAGACTTGTCTAAAACATTTGCCTGCGTCCTTCAGATGCGACAACACTACGGCTCACCCGCTCTTACCGGTTCATAGGCAGAGCTGACTGTCTTGTGGGGATGCTGATCCACAGTGTTTTAGAACTCAGTTACCAATACGAGTAGTTGCACATTTTCCAGAATGCCATTTATGGGCTTGGAACAGAGAATTCAGGCTGCTCACAGGGAGAGCAAATCCATAAACATCCCTCAGTATCTGAATGAGTTAACTACCGAGCAAGTCATTCATTGACAGAAGTGTCAATGTTCTCAGTTTTCCTACCCGTAAATTGGGAAGAATTATAATGACTGACAGGAAATGGGCATTAGAGCATGACTAAGAATAATTTTGCTAAACACATAACAAATAAAAAGGTGCTATAAAAATTCGGGCACTTGTGAAAGCTTGGAACACCACACACTGGTGGAATGTTTCTGAAGTTAAAGAGACTAACAAGTCAAGGGCACTATTTTTAAATGCCCCAAATCTGTTAGTTCTAAATAGGAACAGAATATTTTACCTTAAAGAAATTAGGCTTTTAAATTAATCTATGGTAAGAATGACATTTGAAAGTAAAAAAAAAAAAATCTTCTTGAATGCAAGAAGAGCATCCAAAAAATTTAACAGCTTAAAATAAACCTCTTTCCTGTCTTCTCTCAAGCAATCTCCAAATGGACAGATTTCTGTGAATCTTTCCTAAAAACAATTTTCTTCTAAGTCTAGGCTCAAATCAGGACAAACTACGATCCAAATACATTTGGAGAAAAGCATAATCGATTTCATCAACAGGTTAGGATAGAGAGGACGTACGTATCTTAATGGCAAAATCAGAATGACTTTCTACGCAGCTGGAGATTAGGTGTCTCCTCCCTATCTGTTCTCCTTCCAACTGCATTCAGATACCTCACTGTGAGCTCCGATCTCCTGGCTTCCTCTGGGTCACTTCTGAGCTGTACGGCAGCATGACCCTCATACAGTTTCTTGTTCGTATTCCAGGCTAATGCCGAGACCTGGCTGGAGGATGCTTATGGTAAAGTACAATAATTGAAGCCTGGTGCCTTCTCTATTCAGCAAAACATTCATTTTGCTGCAACAGGGGATTTCTGGGCTAAGGCCATTCTATGTAATCTTCCCCATAAGGTGTGGCAGAAGGCCAGGCGATGAAGGTGTGCGTGCAGGAGCTCCAGGCCTTTCTCCACAGGAATGGGCTACCTTCCTGGTAGGTAGGGACAGCACGCACATGCCTACGGGCGCTGTGCCATGCGATTTTCCAATTCTTCCTGTAATTACTATTAGGCTGGAGACTGCCAAGCAAGAAGGGCCAAGGATGTTACTATTACGATGGTCCACAGAACACAGTCCTTGCTCCTGATCCCCAGAGTTCTCTACAGAAGGAAGCAGCAACTTAGCACAAATCACACGGGCTCTAGCGATTCGGATCCCGTTCTTTCTCGTTTCACTTTCTAGTGACAGCTGGAGCAGCCACCAGAAGAACAAGCTCCTTTTCACCCCGACCTCAACCCCTGGGTTGTTTGTCCCTTTACTTAAGACACTATGATGATGAAGCAAGCAGGGAATGGACTCTCCCAGACGCATCCACTTCTTGCCCACTTTGCAGAGTGTTACATTTGTTTTGTCAGAAAAATAACAAGAGGAGATTTAGACTCTCATTTCCTAATTAAAGATGCTTGTGTCCATGGACAGGATAAATGGAGTCCTTTTTTGAAAACAAAACCGACTTAGTCTTATTCTTCCTCCTTCTAAAGAAGAACACGCCAGCTCTTTGCCTGTTACTAGACATCCTGAATGGAGATCAGTTCAGAACACTTGTTGGGTATCTTAACACCAAAAGGAATATTCTTTCAGGTCAGACCCCAAAATTATTCCACTCCTTTCCACTGTCACCACACATGTTCCTTTCTCTTTGAAGTATTGGGTTACACTTCAAAAGGAGAAAAGCTCCGAAACAGGATTTATCAACTTTCTTAAAATAGAATTTGAAGAAGTGACTCCCCGATTAGTGGGAAGACAGCAAAAATAAACAGCAATGGAGTGATTTCAACGGCGACGATCTCATTAGGCTGCCCATTTCCAAATTTAGCCCGTAGGCAGTTTTTTTAATTAAAAAATATTTTTAACCTGAATTCTTATTGGCTACGTGAAGTCTGGGTGGATTCTGAATTCTTGGAAGCCATTCTCTTTTCTTCTGTAAATTTATGCTATCCTTTAACCACTTCAAAATAAATTAAAAACTGGAAGGACGGAAATTCAGCCAAGCCAAATGAGACTCCAATAACTAATGCAAAGCTGACTTGTATTATGTAATTTCAAAATGGATGTTTCCTGTGTCTAACTGGCTTTTTGAGGTCCATATTTGGTGGTTCAGTTTAGTCATGGTGGAAGTACTGTTATTCAGATCGCGGGGACAAAAGAATAATTAGAAAACGGTAACCCAACTTTTTTTTTTTTTTTTGAGTGAATGTTATGAAAGAAAATGTGGTTCATGTAATGAATCAGCCTTTCGAGGCCAAGTGGCTGGACACCTGGTTTTAAAATACACTCTAGCTTTGAAAATATGGACGGTGGCTGAATCAAAATGGAGGCAAGTTCCCTTTGACTACTCTACAAGACCAAATGGAAACGGCTTGTTCGGAATGCAAAAAAAGCCAGAACCCAGGGGGGAGGCACGCTCCAAGCGCCGCGAAGACACCATCACCTTACTGGTGTACTCACAATCAGATGACCCGGTGTGAGCGTGAGAGTTTGTCAGTGAATGTGTTGAGTGGATGAGGGCTGGGTCTGGAGACAAAACAGCTTCAAAGTTCAGGCAGGGAAGGCCCGGCTTGGCGCTGGATCCACCCGGCTGAGTAATCTCATTCTCCTCAGATGCCTTCTGGTTTTCAGCTGTCTTGGGCTTCTTCCTGAAAATAAACAAAGGGCCCTTTGAAGGAACTGACTGCATATTTGGGAAAAGGCATTTTTAGAATCTGTTAAAGATAACTTGATTTTTTTTTTTCTGAGGGGGGATGGGAGGGAGTCCAGTATGTCCCTTGTTTTAAAACAAGCTGATTCTTGTTTTTTTCCCTCCAGTAATGGCCTAACTGGGAACACATGAAAGCATATGGGCCAAGCAAACAGCACCACATTTGGACTCTGTTGGCTGCATAAAAAGACCCTGTCCCAGAACTTTAGACAGATTGAGCTACGTATGGCTGACATTATCCAAGAAAGCATCCTTTTTTCCCCCTTAAGAGTTTTAACATGGTCTGGAAAAATACTAGTGGAGGTTTACCGTTCTAGCATTTGTCAGGAAGCTTAGAGACAGGACCCGTGGAGTAATGGGAGGAGCACTGGACTGGGAGTCAGGAGACTTGAGCTATGGTACTAGCTGTGCCTCTAACTTGCTGTGTGGCCTTGGGCACCTCACTTCACCTCTCTGGGCTTCAGTTTCCTCATCTGTAAAATAAAGGGCTTGGATTAGAAGGCCTTAAAGGTTCCTTCCAGCTTGAAGTTTCTATTCATGGAACACATTATGGAACATTCAACTTTCTTGCCGTTATTAGCTTTTACTTTAGATTAACACAATTTCCAATCACAATCTAAATTTGCAGGCTACATAGATGAGACGGTAGTGATGGAGGTTGTTGTTAAAGTAGCAAATGAAAAATGAAAAGATGAGCTTAGCTTCTAGTAGGTAAAGTGGTAAGGTGTCACGCGGAGATCCTCTATTCCACATCTCTACTCATCCAAAGCTGAAGATTTCCTTTGTTGGTTGATTTAGTACATGACTCTGGAGTATGGGAGTGTGACTGTGTGTTTGGGGTGGGAGGAAGAGATGAGTGAAGGGCACTAGAAAGTAATTATTGCCCACTGCTGCTTGAGGTCAGGAATAGGAAGCAAAAGAGCCCAGGTACCAGTCGGCTCTGGTGTCCTTCCTCTCCGGGACAATGAAACTGACATAAACACAGAAATACTTAGCTTACACTGCATGTACCCTAGGTCCCAGCCAAGGTGGGTTATTAGTCATACCCTGCACATGCCCTCCAATTTCCTTGGCTCTGTGCCTCTTTCTACATTATGTGGATGGTGACCAGAGAAATTATTTTATTTTATTTTTCGGTGGAAGACTATGTGTGCAACAGAATTTGTTGTAAGTAGCTTTGTTTCCATGTTTTTCTTGTTTCTATAAGCCTGGCAATGGACTTGTCATACAGAATATTTTGTATCGGAATTTGCTGTACGGGGTAGTGAAATCTGCCCTCGCAGAATATGGTGTTATGATTAGCATGCTGTGTTTCTGGTCCAACAGGTTGTGAAATCAAATCTGGTTTTTCAGAGGGTAGGAGGCAGAGATAGCATGGTAAAGACGCAGAGAGAGGGGAAGCTTTCAGACGTATTTTTCAGTATGGAGTAGGCCAATATCAGAGAAGCAACAAATTGCAATGCTTTACCAACTGTTTGTTGGATGGGTGACAATGGAACCGACCCCAAGTCTTGAGTGTCTACATGGACCTCCAAAGCCCGGTTTCTGGTGTTCAGTTTAAGAAGAGATCCAAGATCAAAGTCTCCAAAGCTCAACTCTTTTTTATTCTTGGAAACCAGTGCCCCCTCTCAGACCCCTCCCTATTTCCATCACTGTTGTCTGTCACCGGCTTCGTCATCAGGTTGGAAACCGTAGGTGAGCAACACCTTTCTCTGCCTTAAAGCCGATTCATCAATTCCTGACAATTCTGTTTCCTTCATATTTTTTCAAATCCATGTTTCCTTTCCATTTCCACACTATCACCTTAACACTTTTATTTAGACTGTTGTTTATTTACTGGCTCTCTATCCTCTTTGACCTCTCAGAGAAAATCAGTTTAGCCCAGCACCCCAAATGAGTCCTATATATGCTCTAGCATATAGGCCACCTGTTGCCTACACAGGACTGACTCTCAAAGTTCTTGAAAATTCCCAGAACGTCTTGGGGTATCTACATCCTTGGCTCTACATCTTTGTTCAAGTTAGTTCCCTTGCTCTGAATGTCCCTTTTACAACTCTGTTGAAATCATATTTATCCTTCTTACTTATTAAAGGTTGTCTCCATCTTGTAACTGTCTTGATTTACCTCTACCAGATGGAACGTCTCTTTCTCTCTGAAATTCAACTCCGTCCCACCTTTCTCTGAAATTCCAAAAAAATCTATACTTCTCCATATTTTACTCGCTAAATTTTGTTTCAATAGTAGTTATTTACCTACTACTTGGTTATCCCCCCCCCATGAGACTGTAAACTCTCTGAGAGAAAATGTCTTAGTTATTTTTTAATTCCCTGTGTTCATCCTTTCTTTCCTTCCTCCTTCCCTCCCACCATTCATCTAGTCACATATTCATCTTAAAATATCATGCCCCTACGGTGTGCCAGCATAGGTTAGGGAATGCAGCAAGCCTGGTTGCTATCCTCTCGGAGTTTCCTCTCTAGTGTGTACTGTCAAGCAGAGTAGTTTCGATAACGCTGTCATTCAAGGGGCACCTGGGTGGCTCAGTCGGTAAGCGTCTGCCTTCGGCTCAGATCCCGAAGTCGATCTTCCCGGGGTCCTGGGATCGAGCCCCGCATCGGGCTCCCTGCTCAGCGGGGAAGCCTGCTTCTCCCTCTCCCACTCCCCCTGCTTGTGTTCCCTCTCTAGCTGTCTCTCTCTCTCTGTCAAATAAATAAATAAAATCTTTAAAAAATTAAAAAAAAGCTGTCATTCAATATTTGTTTGTTGATGGAGTGAAGCAGAATTGAATTCAAGATATATTTTGAGAATAGTCATAGTCTAAAACCCAATTAAGTTTCCCTATTCTTTTGTTTTTTGTTTTTATTTACTTGAGAGAGAGACAGAGCGAGCACCGAGGGAGAGTGAGAGGGAGAAGCAAACTCCCCGCTGAGAAGTGAGCCCGATGCGGGGCTCGATCCCAGGACCAGAGCCAAAGGCAGATGCTTCACTGACTGAGCCACCAGGTGCCCCAAGAGTAGGACCATTTTGCCCAACAAAGCTGAACTGGTCCTCATGAGTCCTTTAAATATCAGGATGAAATATCAATGGTAGATATCACTTAACAGAAAAACTTTTTAAAAATATTTATTTCTGATGCTTACAGACAAGGCCTCGGCTGGTTTTGGATTTCTGTTTCAGGAAATTGAAAAAGCCCTCTTTCAAACATGAGTATATGACCAAACAACCAACATTACTTTTCTAACACTGCAAAAATGGTATTGTTCTTTATATAAATGCTCTTGCTTCCTTCCCTAAATGCGGTCCTGCTTCCTACCTGGCATTTTATTCCACACCCTCCTGTTTGTTGTCTCAAGGATCACGTATGGAGAACACTCACAGTACAGAGGCATTAGAAGCCACCTCTACCAATGAAAATATTGAAAATTCAACCTTCCAGTTCACCCCCTCATTTGCTCATCCTAATACCACTGGGCTTTTCCCACCTGCACAGATAACGGAGAGCCACTGACTGTCCTTAGAAGCAATCCATTTCTCATCTCACCCTCTCTGAGAGTTCTACTGGACTCCTTTTCCTGGAGCCGAGAAACACTGAAACGTAGCAGCAGTCTGTCTAGACATGCACAGGTGCTGTGATGTTGACCCCGTTTTTGCAGCTGATAGTTTATTAAGGAGGAAAAAGCAAGTCCTGCAGTAATTAACTGAAAATACCTTCTTTGGTTGTGTAGAAAGAATCGTATAAACATGGCACATCTGAGGGCAAGTCTGTCCAAGCCTCCATGGCTATGCGTTATTCCCTGGAGCCTTTAGAGGGCAGCAGCACACAGGCTACTCGGGCAGCATGCTGGCGAGGCAAACTCGCGACCAGACCAGAACCTTCCTCCTGGTCACCATGCCAAAGGTTGGTTTGCCAAGCTCTGGCCGCTCAGCCTCTTTCTTTCTTTTCAGTTCTCATTCTCTCTCTCTCTCTCTGTCTGTCTCTCCCTCTCTCTCCTCCCTCTCTCCCTCCCTCCCCAAATGTTAAAATTATACACTCTGATGAAGTCGCCCCTCAACCGGAAAATGAAAGCTCCAATGAAAAAGTTAGACAAGCCAACAACAACAAAGAAAGAAACCGGGAGAAAGGGGAAAGGGGGCTGGTGAGGGGGAAGGATTTAAGAACAAGAAAAGGGCAGATGTTTCGTAAATATATGCAAAGCAAAACTGGGTGTACCCTGAACACTTCCACAGAGAAACAGACCAATCATTGTGCACTTCCTCCCGCCACACTGGTGGAGCTCTTCGTTCAAAAAAAAAAAAAAGTGTGGCTGCAGTGCAGGCACCTGCCTTTCAAACGGTCGGTTCTGACATCCTCACTGAATCTCTCCCAATTGTCCAAAGAGAACAAAAACATTTTCATCTCCCCACTGCAAACATTTCTCTTATGAGAAAAAGGGCTGCTTCAAGAACTGGAAAGGCGTTTTAAGGTGACTGGTGGCTGCTTTTTTAACTCTCATTGTGCTGGTCCTGGCAACAAGTTTTGGGCTGAAACATAGCAGTGAGTGAGGTTGTGGATGATGTTGGCTCTTTCCTTACTAGACATATTGCATGTGGAAAGAAATATGCATTGAAACATATTGATGAGATGGTAGGTATTAGGCATGTTAAATGCGTGGAAATTAACCAGATCGGTGGCATTTGATGTATATATTTCACACTTCTTTGCACATATTGCACACATACAGTGATGGCAATGCTTTCTACAACATATGGAAAATAAATATTTTATCTGTGTGAGCTCTTATCAGGCTCCCGGGGCTGTTGAGAGGCGAGTGCTCTCTTCTATCTCCCTCTCCCAATTTTCTCTCTTCACTGCCCCCCACCCCCACTCCACCTCTCCTGCACATTAACATGCCTTCCACTTATCAGCCTATTGGATAGGAAAGAATTAGTCAGAACCTCCTTTTGATAAATAATGACTCAGTCATTGAATCATGACAATTTAGATCCACGATGCCCTCTCCCCCAATTTTTTTTTTTTTTTGAATGTTAACCATTTCTTTATTCTCTTTCCCGACAAAACATTGAAAAGGCTCAGGAGAGTGTTTGGGGAGGGGATCAGAGAGTAGAGGTGTAACAATGCCTCCCCCCACCCCACCCCCCCGCCACCGCCAGTGAAACCCAGCTCTACCATCAAGTATCTGTGTGCCTAGGCAAATTACTGTGCTTCTCTGGGCCTCAGTGGAAATAATGGGGTAATAATACCTACCTCGTTGGGCTGATGTGAAGATTAAATGAGATAATTCATGTCAAGCAATTGGCAGAGTGATGGCACATGGTCAGTGCTCAATGATGGTAGCTCTGAGAGAGCATCAGTTCTATGGTTTTTGTCAGTTATAAGGAGGCACTTCCTCGACCTTAGTAATCTTTTTTAATGTCTAGACTTCAGCAGGGGTAAATGGACTGTCATTGTAGCAAAGGCAAAAGAATGTAAGGATAAGCAATCTCTTCCTGAGCACTTTGATCTTACTGTATCATGCTCCCGACACTGTCTTTCTGTTCACTTGTTTGTCATTGCTGTTGCTACACCAAGAGCCCCTCTCAAACTTGAGGGTCAAGCAAGCTACATTGGGCCCTGGAAGCCCATCAAACCTGGGCACTATGGTCTGTGTGTCGAAGCCAACCTTTGGTACTCATGCTTATCATGTCTCCTTACAATTTATCCTTTTACTACTTGGTCTAATGTTCTCAGATCAAAAGATGTTTTCGTAATTAAAACATTTTATTCTCTCAATTTTTTAAATCTTCTTGGCAAGTCCGATTTATAATGTTTTTCAGTGTATTTCCATCTCACTGTATCAGTCAGGATCCGGGCAAGAAACAGTGGGCACACTCAAAGGTTTTAGCTGGAGAGAGTTTAATATAAGGACTGTATAGTGAGGTACAGAGGAGGTAGTGGGGTGCTCAAGGTGGGGTGAAGCACCAGGGCTAGCAGCGGTGGAATGCTGACAATGTCAGCTTTCAACTGTTAAGTCCAAGGGGCAAGGAAGGCATGGCATTCTCGGAGTCTAGTCAGAACTGCAGTTAGGAAGGGGGTACCCTGCCCTCACTCTCCTCCTACCAGCACATCCTTTACTGATGTTCCTTTTGGCCCAATTCAAAGGGGGAGAGAGCCTGGGAGTGCAGTCCAGAAAGGCCGGCCTCCTGGGCCACATATCAGGGCAGAGAAGGGCTCTGGGGTTTCGTGTGTGTATGGAGGGGATACTAATCAGTGGAGCTCTTCTTTTCCTTCTCCGTCTCCTTCACCCTTCCCTCTCAATTTTACTTTCTGGAAAGAAAGACACAGCAAAATAAAGTGAAGTCAGTTCTCTCAGCGTCCATGTACCTATTTTGTCTGTTTGCCATTTATGGGGGAGAAAGCTGAATGCGGACTCCGTGAGAGCAGGGATTTTTTGTGTGTTTTGTTGGCGGCCACATCCCTAGTTCCCAGAACAGTGTCTGATACAGAGTAAACTGCCCAGTGAATTTCAGCGGGTCGAGTAAATATATTCACTTCTGCTATGCCAGACATTATACGCATATTATCTCGTTTAATTATCACAACAATCCAGAGAAGTAGGCAGGGCTGCTGAGCATGGTTGTATAAGTGGTATGGGAGTGGGTAGGTTTTAAAATCTAACACTTGTCCCCTCCCTTCCCATTCCTAAGCCTTGAGACCTGGTCCAGGGCACTGTCAACCCTGGACACATTTTTGTAATTAGTCCACATTTTTATAGTTTATTCACCTTATTGGTTTTGTACCTAGCCAAGTGCAGAAAATTTATTTTTGTTTCTTCTTTATAAATGAGACAGCCGAGTTTCTGAAAAGGAGAGCTTGCAAAGATTAGAGCCTAATCTGTCCCTGGTAGGACCTGTAAAGCCTGAAAGCAGGTACTGGTGTTGGGCACAAGTAAAATGCTTCCTAGGGCAGAAAGAGATGCTCACTGGTGGGACTCCCTATGATTTTCAGGAAAGCGTAGGTCCTGATTCCTGGGTTTGGATTTGAGTTCTCTGCAGGAAGGTAGGAGTGGTAAAGACTCTTCCCTCTTCCAAAGGCTACCCATCCTGGGGACCCCGGCTACACCCTAGCACAGCTGTGCTACTTGCCCTAGTATAGTTACCCCGTAATGCAGAGAAACCCAGAAAACCATCCAGACGTGGGAATTTCTAAGGCACTCCTTGCACTTCAACTTGAGGATGAATGAATGAAGGTGTCTGTACAAGCAAGCTCCTCGCATGGGTATGGAGAAACTATTTTTGATCTTCCGTCTTGTCTTTAGTCCCCAGCCCCTGAACCCAGTAGTACTGCAGATGACTCTGGTGGTCCCCATCTCCGTGCCGACCAGGCAAGCCTGCCTGTCACCTACACGTCCACTGCCACTAATTACGATCCAGGTGACTAAAAGCACTAAAGGGGAACAGCAATGCAAAACAAAACAGAACAAAAACTCTGGCTTTGTCCCTTTGTGTATGATTTATGCCCAAATAGCTAAAGACATAGAAAATATGAATGTGAAAATCCTACCCGAAAGCTTAACAGGGATGTTACTTTCCCAGGGTTAGCATTTTCCAGTAACAGAGAGGTCTATAAAACACTATCCCATGACCTGCCTCATACCGTAGATAGGAAGACCTGAGAATACAACTAGAAAGAGGTTTTGTCTTAAAATGTATAATTAAACTGTTTTACATGCATAGCCTCTAAATAATTTAACTTTCTGGCTTTTTCGGTTAAAAAAAAAAGCATCTCTTCATCTGTTACTTTTAGCAATGGTTAATGAATAGTTGATATCAATCTTTCATAAGTATTGTCCTATAGGCATCATGCCTCCTATCCCAACCTATTTGTGCACCTTGCCCTGTATTCTCGGACATAAATGCCTGACATAGAGGGAACTCAACCACATGCACAGAGCCATGCATCCAGAGGGCAGGGCTGAGCTGGAAGCAATGGGTGAGAAATGCGGCTGAAGGAGCCCTGAGTCCCCAGGGAGGGCCTTGGCCCCCTAAAGGAGCAAGGGCATTAGCTCAAAGACGTGACTCAGACAACAGAGAGATGCCGAGGAGGAAAGCTGGCCCCTGGACCTGACCAGGGCGGCATGAAGTGACAAGTTGCGGTGAGATTCAACAGAGTGGCTCAGGAGGTGACAAGGGGCCAAGAGATCGGCTGGGAGCTGCCACCACTTCTGGTGCGGGTTCAGACGACCAAGCAGAACAGCGCCAGGCCCCGCCAAGGACGCCGGGATCCGGCCCCGCGTCTGGTGAAGAGGTGTGCTGCTGCTCGGGGTGGGCGCTGCAGGCTGGCAGCTGAGGGCCACTACGGGCTCCTCAGCCCTGAGTCTTGCGGCCCCACCGCGATCAAGACCTGAAGCCATCTACTGCTGCATCTGCGTCTACAATTGTGTGAGGGTGTTTGGTTTTTGTTTTTTTGTTTTTCCAAATTAAACTGAGTGAACTGAGAAGCCTTTCACTGGAGGCGTAATGTACTCACAGTAGTTTCCAAATAAATGGTGTCACTCTTCAGGTAAATCACTCCAAGGCTTGGGCCTAGTGCAGATGTTCATTGGGGCAGGGAACAGAGAGCGGTTGCATCTAGAGCAGACAAGGAAGAAAGATAAGGCAGTTAAATGACAGGTGATGGTGATCAGTCCCGCTGTTGGAGACAGAACTGTGGGACTTGGGTGGGACAGTCCGGTCCTGCACCTTTGCACCAGAGAGGGCCGGCCAGGGGAGGCCGAGGCAGAAGAGGGAATGTCGCCCGGGCTCCATTCTCAGCATGCCCATCTGACGGCGGGGGTGGTCCGAAATCTTCCACAGCACCCTGTTTGTGCGGACGCAGTGCATTTGATGGTGGGGACATGGAAGTCGAGGTGGAGGGTGAGGGCGGGGGGCCTTCAACCTTGCCACAGCCGACGCTTCTGCTGGTGTTCTTGATTCCACTGTAGCCTCTCCTGCTGTAGCACCCAGTTCTTACCTGCTCTGGAAACGCCGCTGACCTGGCCACGTTCTGAAGTTCCTGCCGCGTCTCTGCCTTCCACTACAAAGTCTCCGCCATCTCCCGTGTCCTCTAACACGTGGCGCTCAGCCTTAGGGGCTGCAGGGCTGACCGCTGTCTGTCTCCAGCCTCGCACCCAGAGGTCCTTCCCCAGGCCTTGCCCTTTTGGCCACACCAAGCCCTGATGACCACATTATTCCCGAAACTGTCCTCCCTTCTCACTGGGACCCCGCATTTTCCTGACTTTCCTTCCACCACTCAGCTCTCTCTTCTGCCTCCTTTACTGGCTCATCTTCATTCTCCTAAATGTAGATCTTCCTCAAGATTCTCTTCTCAGTCTTTGCCTACACCCACCCTGCATGACCTCAACAATTACTTCTCCATAGAGAACACCCACATGGCTATCTTTAGTTCCTGCTTGTCTGCAGAGCTCCAGATCCACATTATTAATAACCTCTGGTTATTGGTTCATTCACTCATTTGCTTGTTCATTCATTTAGTCACTCATTCATTCATTCAGTGTTTGCATAGCATCGCTCAGGCACCTGGAAAAGATGAATAAGACAGGGCCTCTAGCTCTGAGAAGCTCACACCTTCATCAAATACCGCACAGACATTTCTAATTCAGAAAGTTTAAAACAGAAATCATTGTCTCTCCCTCAAAATATGTTCCCATTTCCTGCCATGGTCCATTTCCTACCATCTTCACCCAGTTACTTGGTCCTACAATGGAGGAGTCATCTTTAATTCCTCCTTTTCTTTTGCTTCTCATATCCAATCAGCTGCCAAGAGAGATTAGAGGCTGTGCTTCCTAAATCAATACCTACTCTCTCTCCCAACACCTATTTATCCCTTGTCATCTGTGCCAGGACTTTTGTGAGAGCCTCCCAATGGCTTCACTTCTTCCAGGTTCTTTTTATCTTTAGCCCATCCTTTACATCAATACCACATTAATTTTTCTTAAGTACCACTCTAAACATATCATTCCTTTGCTCTTTGCCTACTGGACTAAATTTAAACTTCTCAGTTTGGCATTCAAGGCCCCTACAATATAGACCCAGTCTAATTTCCACTTCCACACCACAGAGAAGTCCCACTCTTTCCCATCCAAATGCCACCTCATTATAAAACATCTCCCCAAGGAAAGTGCCCTAGTTGAGTCCTCAAGCACTTTCTGCACTACTCCCTTTGCATGTTCTATGGACTCTAATAATTACTTGTGTAATTTGGCTCCCCCCTCCATAAGCTCCTAGGAAGCAGAGATAATTTTTACTTCGTGTACCCTATAGTACCTTGCCTTGCACAGAGATTTGTGCTCGGCTGATGTCTGCTAAACCCCCAAAGTTAAAAGGAATCAAGACTCTTGCTTAGAGTCATGGAAACTGAGACTGAATTGGAAAGACCTGAAAGCTCATCGCCTCTCATTTTCCAGATGAGATTAAGGGAACTGACTCGCTCAAGGCCACATCCTTGCTCTTGGTTGAGCAGCAATAACTGATAGAAAAGGTCACAGATCTTTAAATATCTATCAGCGCCTGCTCCGCACCAACAGGCCCAGCAGACCATCCACAGTCACCAGACCAGAGAGAGTGAGGGGTTCACGGGGTACACAGCCAGCAAGGATATACTGGGTTCCAAAAGATAAAGAAATTTGTTTCACTGATTCACTTCAATAAACTGAAATAATAAATATCCTTTTATAGATAAATCATGTTAAAAAATGAGGGTGGATTTAAAGAACAAGGAAGCAAACCTTTCTAACACTGTCAGCAGAAACAGTTATGACAATATTGCAAATGCCACCGGGGTGATAAACTCAGGGTGAAAAGCAGGATGAAGGAATTTCTCATGCTTTAGAAAAGCAGCGGGTTCAGCTGAAGTTCTTGGTGAAAACATGCCACAGTAATTCTATGGTTAAATTCTGACCTCGTGGAAACAGAGGCCATTGGTGGTCCTGCTACGACACAACACACGTCTGTGTGTCTTCTCCACCTAGTCTTGCCCAGGATTGATCCTATAAGTTTGTTTAAATTTTCACGGATTTTTCTTTCACTGTATCACCAATTTACTTGTGGAAACGCATAGGCGAGTGCTCCCAAGGCTCCCAACTTTCTTCCCTTCTTTTCCTCCCATGATAGAAGTACTCACTGTTTAATCTCCTTTCTAGCCTCTTCCTCAGACAGAATCCTTTCCTCTTGCCCAAAGATGAAAAGCTCCCTTCCCCCCCCCCCCAGAAAATATGGGAATAACAGCGTTTACCTAGGTGAGAAAACCAGACTTTTCTAGGGAATCTCGGTAGTGTTTACTTGGCCAGAAAAGCTCAGCTCTTAAATGTTAGCCTCCAGTTACAGGACTTCATCTGCCTCTCCCAGGCGAGTACTTACTGTTACTTACCAGAGGAAAAACTTGGTACTATCAATCAGATTCTTTTTGGCCAGTGTGGGGGAGCCAAGCTATGCACTGAGACATCCATTCAATAGCAACATCCAAGTAGCCACATAAACAGCAAATGGGGCTCAAGAGCTCTCTATAGTTCTTACTAAACCATCTTATGGCTGGACAGGTTATCAACACTTCACCAGACACGGCTTCCTTCTCTTTTCTCCCCCTGGCAACTCCATTAAAATGATAAAGGATATGACTGACCGATATGTCTAGTGCATTGCAATGAAAAATCACCTGGAAGCATACAAATCCATTGTGTAATTAGAGAAGTGTACATTTTAAATATGCCTAACATTTGGTTTAAATTGTGCATTTTATAATTAAATGGAGATATAATCTTTCTGTCCTTTAATCAAACTCCTCCCCACATCCCGCTGCTATAATCTTCCTTTCATTTTTTGGCAAACGGTCACCTCTCCCCTCTCCTTACTTCCCCACACGCCTCAGCACACACCTAGGGGTCTATTAATCAGAACCACTGCCTAGTGTGTCATGTTTTATTGCTTAAAGGGTGGGTATGCTCTAAAAAAGACTCCTTGAAAATGACTTCATGAGGTTTCATATTTATTCTATTGCAATGACTCCCATATCCAATGTACACAGTTTTTAAGTCAAAAGATAATTTTGAGAGGCTGCTGGGGCTACACATTCTTCCCAGAGTCTGGAAATCCAGCTGTTCTCTCTGCCTCTTACATCATCACTGTAATAAAGAATCTGTTCTTGGATCCCAGCTGGCAACGTTCTTGATGGTGTCAGAGGCAGAGGAGACAGTGGGTCCTTTCCATCCCAGTTGTTTTATTGTTGACGTCTCTGCAGCTCTGTCTTGGAAGCCCGCAGAGAGCAGAACTGTTATGTAACACACTGTCACACATCACTACAAGGAATTTTCTGTGGAGGTCTCACTTCAGTGTGGCTCTTCCCATTCTTCGGAAATCACACCAGATCATCCTAAAATGACAGATGGGGCCTTTGTGATGAAAGCTCACAAAAAAGGTAATAGTAACAATAATAGCTACCATTTGTTAGATGTCTACGTTTTCTCAGGGACTGCATGGGGGAATTTTTACATGTAAATACATTCTCACTGAATCCTCATAGCAATGTCGTGTTGGAGGTATCAGCATGCCCATTTTACAGATGAGGAAAAGTGAGACTAAGAGAGCTCAATTATCCATTCTGTGGATAGTGAGGTCAGAATTCAAGGTCAGATCTGAGCCAGATCTCTCTTACTTTAAGTCTGGGCGGGGGGTGGGGGTGTTTTGTTTTTTGTTGTTGTTTTTTTCTTCCTATACAACAGCTGTTCCAACACAGCATGACACATTCCTAGTTCCCACTGTGACCTCGGCACAAGAAAGACACTTGTGCTATTTCCATGATGATTCAGACTGGCAGCACAGACCTCAGGTGAAGGAACTCTTTCAGAATCAATAAGTAGAATTCCTTCCTAACTCCTTTCTATTTGAAGATGAGAACATCTTTTAACGGTCTTCTCAGACTCTAATGAACAAATGAATCATGCAGGATTTCTGATTCAGCATGTCTGGGACTGAGTCTGTGATTCTGCATTTCTAGAAAGCTCCCAGGTGATACTGATGACACTGGGTTGGGTACCACAGGTCTTATGTCTGATACTCGCCTTCCTACTGTTTTCGAAGGAGCAGTTCAAGCTGAATAACTTGGCTAACAGCTCACACGGCACGACCGGCTTCTGATTCTGGGCCAGTTTGTCAGGTCATCAGGCATCAGACAGAATTCAAGAAGTTTCTGGCATAGAGCACATCATGGGAAAAAAAAAAAAATTGTTCCTAGATCCCCCAGGGCTCTACTACCCCCGCATTGGAAATTAAAATGATAATGTCTCTAACATGTAACGTTCCTATTTTTTATATTATTGTTATTTTTAACAATAATTATCTGGTAATAATTCAAATAACACCTTTCCTCTGAGAGATTCAGTGAGCTTTACTAACCTTAATTGTCTAACAGCAATTCCCAGGTGTAGCTAAAGCTGTCTCAAAGATCACAGTAAATTTAAAATTGTTCCACTTTCCTCCTTTCTTTGCCCCATATGTAGTGATGAATTAGTGGTGAAGGTTTACTAATTGGCAAAGACCCACGGTCTCATAATCTGAGGCATCGGAAATTTGGTAAA